CACACACAACACACACACACACACACACACACACACACACACACACACACACACACACACACACACACACACACACACCACCCCCTACCTGGTGAACTGAGTGAGCTGCTGGTAGGTGTCTGGCACGTCAAAGGGCTTGTACATGAAGTGTCTGAGGTCTGAGACCCCCACCTGGCTCACGCTGTACGACTGGACTTTGGCAATGAGGCTCAGAGAGTTCTGCGCCATCATGGCCTCCTCTATCTTCCTCTTGCACTCAGCTACAGCGTAGAAAGCCTCCTTGTCTGTCGAGAGCAGCAGCAAGCAAACAGTGCATTCTGGAGGGTCCAGGTAAGAAATGTATGCATAAAAGTAACAGTCAGGATTAAAGAGGGGGAGGCAGATGGGAGTCCAGATCTCCCCAGCCTGAAAGGCAGAGGAGGCTCCGATGAGGTTGAGCAGGAGATGGATGTCAGCGGGCTCCAACCTGGAGTCCTCGATGACTGTCTTTTCTTGGACGATGGTGAGCAGCTGGTTGTTGGCGATGAGGATGGAGAAAACCAGATTTGGGGTGATGGCTTTCTGCAGTATCTGGCTGATATTGTCCCTGAGAGAGGAAGCCAAGGGTAAGCACTGTACAGCTGCCAGCAGGAAGCTAGGGTCAGAGTCCACCAGGTTGAGAAGACCATCCAGAATCTTCTCCGAGCCCGCCAGAAGTCTCCTCAGGTCGTAGTTCTTCTTGTGTTCAAAGATGCGAGATATGCTGGCTTGTGTGAGCATGCTGATGATCTGATAGTAGACATAGAGGAGCTCTCCACGCAGCTGCTTCTCTGTCTGACGACTGCTGGAGACACACACCAGCACCAGAGGCCCTTTCTGTAAAAACACCACGGTGTGCCCATCTGATGCACGAGAAAAAAAGATCACAAAGTGTTAATGTCAGTACTGGTAAATTCTACAAACAAATATGATATACACACACATATTGCAACCACGTAGATGTCTTTTAAAACTGAATTGTAAACAAAAAAACACATGTCTAAAATTAAAGATATTGGACATGTTGTGGACTTGAATGTGTGTGTAAATAGTAGTATAAACTTCCAAAATAAATTGCTGTGGTACTTACAAAATGAATGTAAAATAGTTAATTAAATGTGTAGTTGATATTAACGTCTCCATGCTCATGTCATGATTATTTTTTTGGTAATCATTTCTTGTCCACTTTGGCAAGCTAGAGTCACTGCGGCCACATCTACCGACTGCTCTTGGCACCCACTTCCTCTGAAAAATGCTTACACTTGCTTTAATTAATACAAATAGAAAATTGCATCTATAACAAAGTTGCAAACGTTATATGAAAGAAAAGAAAAAATGCTCTCACCTGAATAGATTGAGCGGATGATATTATCTCCACTTTGGACAAAGGAAACAAGCGCCATCATGACTCCCATTGTAGAAGAAAGAGCCTCTTCACTGCCGTAACGGGAATATATGGGTTTGCCTGCTTCACTCAGAACAAAAACATGCTTCCTGTGCTGCCTCCAGCTGTCAGCTGTCACATCCTCATCACGATGAGACATAAAAGCAGGAGGCTCCTGGGTTTCTGCCTCCAATAATGGAGAAGACCCTCCCTTCACGCCTAGTCCTTGCTCCTCCAGCTTGGCCTTGGCCAGCATTGTGACGACAAACTCCCCAGAGTCGCTATGCTCATTGTCCGTGGCAGTATCCTCATTTTCTATGTCCAACTGCTGGGTGGACACATTGTTCTGACACTCAGAGCTTTCGGTCTCTTCAGTCTCTAGCGGTGTTACCTGGTGAGAGTGGGGCTCTCCATCCAGACTCTCCTCCTCAGCTGTAACGTCTGACAGTGAATCTGCAGGCTCCTCTTTAACAGCGCTCCTGTGTTTTCTCTCCAACGGATAAGGAAACATGTGATTCCCCAAGAGGGAGAGAGAAGTCGCCAAAGTGTCAGCTAAAATAAAACAACAACAATTAGTTTATGTAATGAATGATAAAGACATGCCAGCTTTAAATGTGAATAGCTTGAAACAATAACTTACCAGGTGGATTGCTCTCACAGGGCGGATCACAAATCTTCACTCCCTCTGTCTCTCCTACTTGATGATTGTCTCTCTCCATGATACCATCCCAGTCACTGGAGATTTAAAAGAAATTACAATAATATTATTATGTATTATATTACAACAAAACAATTCGAAATGAACAGCAGTATAGATAACTTATGTATAAAGGTGGTTGTAGCTAAAGCATGCATGCACATCTCAGTCTCTTATGAATAGGGGCAGTCATACTGGAGCAGTGGTCAGGTCACATGATAACAGAAAAAATGGTTACAACTCCAAGTTACCAAACAGACTTACATTTTACACTGATTTAATCTTCTAGCAGCCTGGCTAATGTGACACTGCAGACACACGGCAGTCGGTTAAGAGGACGGGGAGTACCAGTAATTGGTGTTTGACCGCCAGAACTAGAGAACAGACGTTTCTTTAATAGTAGCTTAATTTACAAACACGTTTCTTAGTGTACGAACTCCTTCACAATCAAGAAAGCCTACCTTAACATTCTGATACATATTTGACTGTTAATTCCGATGCAACTAATGAAATGTTGCTGTCTACACTCTGCAGTTACATGGCTAACACTGCTTGCTAGCAAGCGACACTCACAGATCAATTTCATGGCCTCGGCTTAACAATTAGCATGCCAGTAATCGTGGTCAGCTAAAATCAGACAGATAAAGGCAAAGAAAAATACTTACGATTTTGAGCCGACCTAACGTTGAGTTGAATATCTAATTCGCTACATCAACTTTCATCAACAGCCCGGCTCCAAACAAGCTGTCAGGAATGAGAAGCAGAAAACAAATGTTCCTCTTACGACAGCAGACATCCGGAATCTCTGATGACAAGCTAATCTGACCAATCAGGCTGCTCTGCGGCGAGGTTTAGCCCTGCCCCCTCACGCTACGTTCCTTATGCACTGCGTATGAGAGTAACGTACGTTGTAGCCTTTATACATAAAGTAAACAGTCTATGGTTGTAGCTGGATGAGCGTAATATTTAAAGTTGATACTTTATAAATTTAAAACAGGAATCCCATCTTGCTATTTCAGCATTAGCCACATTGTGCCATCAGCGCTCCCTACGAGTATGTGATCAGCAGTGTTCCCTACCAACATCTTAGAGAGATACACACATCTTTTTTTGTAAAGCTGTGGGTTTGAACTCTAGCAATATTTTTTATAATAAACATACAGTCTCCTGTATGTCCGGATCGATACAATACTTTCACGTGCAACAGTAAGGTTTACTTGACACCCTTACTTATGTGACCGGCAATGTGCAATATACACAACAACCAATTGTTATGTGAACAAAATATTTGTTTAGAAATTTCCCAACCTTTTTAATAATGTCTCAACACCTTAATGTTATGTCGTATACGTTTTTTAAATTGGTAGGCTACTAATTGTAACTTGTTTTATTCTATTACTAACGTGTGTTTTTCTTCTCTATATTTTAAGTTAGCTAACACTTATTATCGCTTGCCTTTTATAACTGCTCTTCGACTTTTGCTGCAACACTGTAAATATCCCCGTGTAAAGAAAGGAATTATAATTCTGATTCTGAAATGGGTTGCTAAGCAAACTCTGGTAGTGCTGGGCTCACAAATGTGACTACGAGCTAAGTAGACTCACATTTATGCTGGTTTTAGCTTTACATTTGATTTGAAACACATACTAAACAGCCGGACGTGCTGTAGACATATACATGCTCCAGTATATTATTTATTAAATGCAAAGTTGGCTAGAGAAGACACCGTTTATTTGAACTGCGTTTGTTGTTGTAAGCTAGCAGGGCTAAACTACGTAACATCAGTCTATGAACGTAACCCACGTCATATCCGATTCTCCAAACCTCGCCACTGACACAACGTAACGGTAGGGACCAGGGAAGAGATGGCGACCAGTATGTCAAACGCTAACGTTACCTAGCCAAGGTGATGTTTTTTAAACTACCCATCAGATAAAGAGTTTACCTTGTCTATTTCACATAAGCTAAATAACCGGACACTATGGAGGAACCGTGGGACTTTGAGTTTCTGTCCCGCATCGCTGACAGCTGCTTGTCGTTCCTGTCAGAATTTGTTGACGACTGGCTCGCCAACGATATGAGAGTTTGCATATTCAAAATTCTACTCAGCTGGCTAATTGTAAGTCTTATCGCCATTCACTTTGCCTGGAAAGTGTACGGGAATACAGTCAACGACATGTATTATCGGCAAGGTACGTTTTCTTTGAGCTTATCTGTATCAGTTGCTAAACTAGCGCTAGCCACGTTGGCTTCATCTCTGGTGTGTTTGTGTTGATTTTTAGGGACTGGACAGAATGGAGGCACTCCTGAAACAGCATCTCATCTGAGTGGATGGTAGGTGTCCGAGCATCCGTGTCGCTACACACAGGTAGATGATCCTCCTCACACTATCTGCTGCTCTAAAGCTTCAGTTTATATAGGCCTGAGCATCAGTGCAACAGTTAAGATCTTTGCTATTTATTATTATTGAATACCTAATAATTACGGGATATATATATCTCCTAGTTAAAAATGTTGAAAGGATAAAGTGTAATCTAAACTTAATACATTATTGCCAAAAGATCACTAATAGGGGTAGGGAAAAAAGTTTATAAGAGCCTGAGGTGTTTTATCATATATTTTTTTTTAGCAAAAGCATTATGTTGTTCTTGCAGGGAAGGCAAAGCAGGAGATACCCTAAAGACTCATCGCGATTAACAAGACATGGGTGTCGGACCTTTTCCAAGTGAGAGCTGGACTCCTGTAACGAGACATTAAATGCACCCTCAGACTTTGCTTCAATGCATTCAAGATGCATGCACATTCTGGCAACTGCCCGAAGAAACATCTGCTATGCATACCAACAGTGTCACATTGATATCCACTGTATCAACTACATAGTGCTGTGAGTTGTTTATTTTGGCTTGTCAACATTGGTCATTGAGCAGAACCTTGCTTGAATTGATTTGTTGACAATGGTCACCTTTTTTTTCAAGAGGCTTCAGTACAAATGGGTCCTACAATGAGGGGATTGTGTGTGAATTGAGGTGCTTTAAGAACACGGACACTGTGGCAAACACTTACCGCAGAGCAAAATAATTGGACTTGTTTAGATGATTTATGGAAAGAACAATTAACACTGTTTCTCATTACCTGAGAGGAACATTGTGTGAACCTAATGTGAGATACTGAGTGCCTGATTAGAGTATTTACCCCTCTTTGACTTTTTCATGTCATTTATTAAACATTGAACACTCAGCCCACTCCTGTGCCAAAATAAAACAACATATCAGATACAACGGATCAAAATTTGATTCTGATATTAAATACTTTGACTGTTTTGTTAAGAAAGGCAGCATTTTAGTGCACTTCACCAGTTTTAGTATAACATCTGCAGCAGGAAAAACATACGTGAGATCTGGGCTGTGCCAGCCGCCACGAAGCATTGCAGCACGTTGTATGGATGTTTCTGTACAGGAGGCCCTAGTGGCTTATGATGGGAGAGGCTCAGCTGAATGAACCACAATACAGGAAAAGTCCTGAAGGAAAAACTGCTGCATTTAGCTTGAAAACAAAGCCAAAATGGCTTTAAACAACAATGTTGAAGTACTTTAGTGATCAGTTCAGAGTCCACACCTCAGTCCAGATTAGATAATAATTTGGTCATCAGATTTCCAAAACTGAAATAAATCTATCCATAATTAGTAGATTCAAAGCCACAATTACTGCCAAAGGTGCTTCCTTTACCTGAGGATTAACAAATGTTCCTATATGTGATCAACCATTTAGAATTTGTTTTCTGTTAAGTTGCAGAAAGATTAGTTAAATCCAATTGGGATTTAGTGTAAAATAATAAAACATGAGAAATTCAAAGGGGAGTGGAATACTTTCAAAGTGCATTGTGTGAGCCATCTTACCATCAGCTATTATAACTGACGTTATATAATACTGTTATAATGGTGAAGACAAGACAATGTACTGCAGTGTGTATGTTTAATGATGTGCATAGTCCTAGTCAAAGGAACTAAACTACAAAATCATCAGCATATTTTAGATAACTTGAAGTTCCTGAGAAGAAAAATACAACTGTGCAAGTTTTATGTAAATGCTTGGTTGATATTAAATGTGTTGTTTTTGTCATTGCAACTCTCATTTAATGTTTTTTATACATCTGTGGCCGTTAAAATGTAAACAGCAATACTAGTTTTGCCTTCAAGTAGATAATACTAATAATAACTAACTAATAGTTTCACAAGTAAAATATCTAAGTTGACTTGGAAGAAACAGATACTACAATGCCAAGCCAGATAGACTGGTAAATTACTTTATTTATTTGATTTATTCCCTGGAACTATCCTCTTATTTTGTGAGCTTTATCCTATGTTAATAGGGATTGGTGGAATTAGCAGCATGTGCACATCCATCACATTGGTGCAGGTTAAGCCAGGTACAAGTAAGCGCTGCCCAGCAGAAAGGCGTGAAAAAAACGTGTAAGAATCATTGTTGGTGAGGAAGTTGTTGACGTCCAGCGCCTGTGCTTGTGCCTCTTCGTACAACCCCCCGTCCGTGATGGCCCCCGCTGCATCAGTGGGTCCGTCCTGACCATCAGTTCCACCGCTCAGGAAGACGGGGCCGGTAGGCGGGAGCTGCATGCCTCTCAGCTCCAGTCCCACTCGCAGAGCCAGCTCCTGGTTACGACCACCTCGACCCTTGCCTGTCAGCTCCACGGTGGGCTCACCTCCGGCTAACAGACACGTGGATCCCCATCCTTCTGTACGTCCTTCACCCAGAACCTGCATGGTACGGCAGAGGTCCCAGCTCTCCACTCCTACTTCAGGCCCCAGCTTCAGCAGCTCAGCAGCAATCTCTGGAGGAGGTTCCTCTCGAGAACATGCAAAGCGGGCCAGAAGGCCGTAGAGTTTGGAGACTACCCTCACATCACCACACACTCCTGGTGCCAGCACAAGAGGGCGGAAACCTAACTCTAGAGCACGGCGACCTGCCGACTTTAGGGCAACGCTGTTGGATCCAATGATGGCGTTGAGAACACGCCCTGATCTGCTGGATTCATCTGTTTTATGGCTCCTACTTGGACTTGGTCTCTCAAGGACCTCCTTTACCGAGGCTGGAAGCGAGTTCAACAGCTTGTAACGTTCAAGGATTGATAAAACTTCTTCAGGCCACACCTCACTTGGCACTGTGGGGCCGCTGGCAATCAAGTCCAGAGGGTCCCCAATAACATCTGACAGTATCAGTGAAACTACCTGTGAAGAAGTGATGTTTAAAGGTAAAGTGGGGAATGAGTTCCGTATGATAAAAAGTGGATTAAAGAAAGGTGTATTACCTGGGCAGGGTGAGCATAATGCGCAAGTCTTCCGCCCTTCAACAAAGACAGGGCGCGTCGCACAGTGTTCAGCTCTTGAATAGTGGCACCAGCACCTGCAAGTTTGCGGGTAACATCCTGTTTCTCTTGCAACGAGATTGGTGGGATGGGTGCAGGTAATAGCGCTGAACCTCCACCTAGACACAGTTTTGACACTTTGCATCAGTGATTTACATTACAAGGTATCATTTTGTTAAGAAAAAGCAACTAAAATATCTAATTCTTGCCTGATATCAGTACAAGTAGCAGGTCTTCCTCCGTCAGTTCAATGGCTAATTGCTTGATTACTTCAGCGGCCTTCTGGGCATCAGTATCAGGCAAGTTGTGTTTAGCTCCCTCCATGACTCTGATGCGACTGTTTTCTTTTAACAACAGGTGGCTGGGATAGAAGGGATACATTTTAATATTCTGATTACTCCTATTTTTCTAGAATCGTTGTTATTTACATCCTATGGTTTTTGCTTACTCTTTTCCGTTCTGCTGCAATGTCTGCTGAATCCCATGTGGCACGCTTACTACTCCTTTGACCAAATGATCCCCCAAAATCCTCTCTGCCTCGGCAGCCATACCCAGTACAGCTTTTCCGAAGCCCACCAAATGCAGGTTGTGTTTGAGTGTAAATGTATGACCATTGATAATGACCGAGTCCTGCTTGCGCTCTATACTCTGTCGGACCACTGTGTCTGGCTGCACAGCTTCCACTGCAGCTGCAAACACCATGCGTGCCCTGGAGTCCATTGACATTTTGCACGACGCAGGTTTTCGCCTGCCCACGTGAACCAGAAAAGGCTGATGCCGAAACAGGGAAAGAACACGGGCCATGGAGAGTTCACTTGCTCTGAGCAGTGATTGCCTATGGAAATAAAAAAGTAACAGTTACAAAGACGGTTCCCACAAAACATTTTATTTTAAAACGCCACATAGAATTTAGCAATGTGCAGAGAGGGAAATGTCAGATATTTAGTTTTTCACAAAATTGTTTTGTGGCCACTTTTAACTCAAGTAAATACCGAAAAGAACAGGGCAATTGTTTATTTACAGTGAACCTGCTGAGTTTTCAACATTGTGCACCCTAACCCATAGAACTACTATTTCTGCAGTTATAACTGGAATAATTGGCTCAGAACTCAACAGTAAAGTAATACATTTAAGGCGAGTGGTCACTAACAAAACCAAACCAAAACAAAAACCCTACATAGATAATAGTTATCATCACAAGCCAGTAACACATTTCCCGGAATAAGCTTTCCAAAGACTCATGAGACAGCCTACCTGCAAAGGTTGTAAATGGGATATAAAGCCTGTGGATTTCTGTTGAAGCCTGTATTGTAGACTCCAGCTCAGCAGTCCGGCAGTGTACGGAAATATGACCAGAGACTTACTGGAGTTGTTTACCCTGTGTGTAATGATTGACTTAATAGACCACAGGACCCATCAGACCCCTGACCACCCAGCTGTGCATCAGTCCCTGTAGTTGTTTATTTCTGTCCCCCAGGACTGGGCGAACGAGAAAGAGACTGAGAAAGAGACCACTGAGTAGACTTTGGAGCCATTCATACTAGTTCAAAGATTACAAAACCTACAGTATAACTAGTTTGCACTGAATTCATGTTCATGCTGGTGACAAGTCTTGTTGTCTCTAAGTATGCCAGGAATTGTTTTTTGACATAACGTACATTATAACTGATCTTTTCTTTATCAATATCACATTGGTAAAGTCAAAAATAAACATATTAAATACATGTGTTAGTGTAGTTTATTATAGGCCATGACAAAACCTTTATTTTTCATCTGAGAAAATATAATTGAAGATGAGGGAAGGCAATAACAGAGATGTTCAAATTGCGTTTAACAAATTGTCAAGTTTGCACGTATCGTTTCTGAACATAGTCTACCATTTATTACCTTAACACCTTGTTTATCTATGCTAATATTAAGAGAATAACCTCTTCTCTTGTGCTTCTCATGCGGGATAATATGTCCAAGTGAAGATTAATAGTTACAGGTTGAAAGAATAGCTTTAGGTTTAAACATCAATGGACAGTCTCCTCCAAAACCAAATTCTCAAAATAAACCAAATGATTTATCCCTTAAGAAAAACACACACAGTGACTCGCACTGATTGAACCATAGGCTGTGTAACCGATTAACCATAAGATGCTCTTTAGTATTTAATGAATGCACTACTAATTCAACAAACTATGTATGTCATTGTATGAGACAAGAGTACAATAAATAAAATACAATTCCCTTATGCGTCACAGCTTTTAGTGAAAGAGAACTGAACCTGAGGAGTTCCCGAGCACGAGTTTCTACTTTACCATGGTCGCCGTCGACATTTTACACTGTCCCATGTTGTTGTTTTTTTAGGAACCTCTAATATATCTATGCACCTGTGCAAATCTTCGCACTTTTGACATTATGAAAATACACGGGCTGCTAACGGATAAGGTAAAGTGGATTCCTACCTCACAATGTCTTGTTTGTGAGAACAAGTGTGATGTTTTCTTCATCACTTCTCCTGTGTCCATTTCGCTACCAAGGGGAAAACCTAGAAGTTGATAGAAAAGAGAACAGACAATAAGCTCTGTCTGAGAGCAGGCAGACAAAAGTGGCAGAAAGTGCTGGACCAGACTGTTGACACAACACAGACCTTATACGTCCATTCACCAGACAGGCAAAGAGAGGAATAAACTGTAAGATATAATTGTATTCTTAATTGGCTGTGTGAGCAAGTTATTGTCACTTTATTCGGGTTCTTTCATGGCTATTTTATGGAGGAATTTACGGAACATGGATTATTTTTTAGGTCTTCATAATGCAACTATCGCGATATCTAGCGTAGTTTCTGGACAATGCGCGCGTCAGGTGATGCGCGTCCCCGACGTGTGGAAGGAAGGCGGTGCGTCTTTTCCCTCCCTCCTATTCCGAGGATCACCAGTATTACAGGCGGGCTTTTGTAGTTGTTTTTGAACTATTATACTTGTAAAAATAACTGTTAGCGCCATTGCAGTTCACATATATATATCCGAATTCTAATAACGGACATCCGTAAACCGATTTACAGTAGAACGAGGGCCTGCTTCCTCTCAGCAGTAGAGGCCATCATGAAGCTGACGGACAATGTGCTGCGGAGCTTCAGGGTGGCTAAGGTGTTCCGAGAAAACTCAGACAAAATTAATTGTTTTGACTTCAGTTCAAACGGAGAAACGATTATTTCCAGCAGCGACGACGATTCCCTAGTCTTGTACGACTGTCAAGAGGGAAAGTAAGAGCCGTTTCTCTTTATTCTTGCTCTATTGTTTTTGACGTGAGGTACATGCTAAGCTAGCTAGCTAGCGGGCCTGGTACAGTACGATAATGCTCCGCAGGGATTTTGTGAAGAAAACATGTTAAATGTCTGTATTTGCATGCAGTTTGAAATCCTACATTGATTCTGATCGGTAACCTATTTATTAGGGTTATTATTTAGTTAATATTTATATGATATTAAAGCAATCGTATTGTTGGAAAAGGCTACGAATTATTTTTAAATTACGTGCTGTTACGTTGCATAGAGTAGCAACCTTGACCCGTTTGAGTTTATTGCAATCCCTATTGGTTGATATGGGCTGCTTCTAACATATTATTTACTTACACGGATTATCAGTTATATTGAGTAATGAGCTTAATATTTCTGAATCAATGAGTTGATGCCCAGAAAAATAAATCGACACCCAAATTTGCAGCTTTACTTATCTATTAGTATTTACAATAATCGTTAAATGGGGTCAAGAATGTTGATCAGCAGTCCAACAAATCATTGAGTTTTCCGAACATAAACTTTCCAATCTAAAAAAACCGACTGTCTTTGAATTTGGGCTAGAACTTTGATGTGCTGCATCTGCAAGGATTAATGTAATACCAGTCAATGATCTAATGTTTTCTTTTTTACTCTCATCTCTGATTTATGGCAGACCCAAGAGGACCCTCTACAGCAAAAAATATGGAGTGGATTTGATCAGATACACACATGCTGCAAACACTGTGGTCTACAGTTCCAACAAAATCGATGGTATGTTGATGCTCAAGGACATGTTTGTAGTTTTTGTAGCATGATATGTTGTGTCATGTGATATTGTTGCTGTAATTGAAGAATGCCAAACGTTTCTGTTTTGCAAATACTAAATGGATTATTGTACTCTAGTTATAATGTGAAATGTGTGTTCATAGCTACTGGGGAAACAGTTTTGTTGACTACACCGAAAATGTTGTTTTTGAAAAGCTAACCCATCATGAAATACTGATTCAAGCAGAGTATTGTGTTGCATAAAACATTTTGGAAATGATCATGTCTTTCCTATTCGAATACATTTGACTTTTGGAACTATCATCGCTCTGCGGTTATTGCAAACAACCACCCGCGTGCCACCCTACTCACTTTGGTCTGAGGTAGTTGTTTGTACAGTTTGAGGGTCTGTGATTCTGCCCCATACAGGAGCTAACTGTACAACTGACTGCCTTGCCCACGGTTGAGTCTACTCATCATCCTCAGAGCCTGTAACCCACTTCCTGTTTGGACCACGGCCTAATTCTTGCTGTTGTTGGTCAAGTTGGATGTTTGCATTGTCATTTTTAACTTGTGTTAATATTTTTTAAGATACAATCCGGTATCTGTCCCTTCATGACAACAAATACATCCGCTACTTTCCTGGGCATAACAAAAGGTGAGGACTAGATTTACAAAGATGGGTTGATTTGATGTTAGGAGTTTGAATTTCCTCTTTGCTCACATGTTCCTCTTTTCTTGTGTGTAACCAGAGTGACCTCGCTCTCCATGTCTCCTGTGGACGACACATTTATTTCTGGTTCGTTAGATAAAACAATCAGACTGTGGGATTTGCGGTCACCTAACTGCCAGGTGAGAATCTTTTTATTGTAGCATCCACCCTGTTCAACTAATATGTAATATGAAATTGTTTAGACTGGAAAAAGTTGATATTGACCTCCTCTTTTCATCTTTTAATTTCAGGGCCTGATGCACCTCCAGGGGAAGCCAGTGTGCTCGTTTGATCCAGAGGGTCTTATTTTTGCTGCCGGAATAAATTCAGAGATGGTTAAACTTTATGATCTGCGGTCGTTTGACAAGGTAAGAAGTGTTTGTGTGACAGAGACTTACCATAATGTATGGCAATGTAATACTTGATATTTAGCTTTATTTTTACAGGAGCTAAACATATTCATGATATCTCTTGTCCACAGGGTCCTTTTGCAACCTTCAAGCTTCAGTATGATCGAACGTGCGAGTGGACGGGACTCAAATTTAGCAATGACGGGAAACTCATTCTTCTTTCTACAAATGGTGGAGCTCTTCGTGTCTTAGATGCTTTTAAGGGTGCTATTATACATTCCTTTGGGGTAAGACACATCTCATTGATAAACATAATGTCTGAAAACACTTACCACTTAAAAGTAAAAAAAAAAATGTAAACAAAATCCACATCTCAATCACACACTTGCACAGTGTGTCTGTTTTTATATTCAAAGCATCTGGAAAACCCTCACATGGTCAATCACATACATTACTGACCGTTTATGTTTTTAAGAAATGATGAGGATCATTAAACTTCCTACCAGTTGTTTGCTGTTCTAGTTCTGATGTGCACATAATCATTTCTAATAGATGAATGTTCGTTCACCCACAGGGCTACAACAACAGTAAATGTGTAGCACTGGAGGCATCGTTCACGCCGGATTCTCAGTTTGTAATGATTGGTAAGTTTCCCGTTTCCTCTGGACAAGGTCAAATAGCATTATAACAATCATAAAAAGCCTCAGGAGAGGAAAGTACCTCAACAAAATACTGTGGGCTGTGGTCACGTTTTCATAAAATATATTTTTCTTTTGTTCATATATATTCTTAGGCTCTGAGGACGGAAAGATCCACGTGTGGAATGCAGAGAGCGGCATGAAGGTGGCTTTATTAGACGGGAAGCACACGGGACCCATCACCTGCCTGCAGTTCAACCCAAAGTTCATGACGTTTGCAAGTGCCTGCTCCAACATGGTGAGTGGGGGGGGGTGTGGAGGAAAAAGTGTAACTGTTGAAGATTCCAGAACCTTTGTAGATGCAATACATGGAGAATGTAGTTAATATAAAATGGTGTCACTACACTGAGCATCTCATCGACTTAATCATCTTGTTCTTAGTAACATTAATATAAAATGTACTTATTGTGTTTTGTTACATCCTTAAAGCTCACAATTACTTTAGTGTACACAAAACAAATGTATTCAGTACTATATAATGTTTGCTTTCACCTTTTTATTTTGTAAGTAATTGTCATTTTATCAATCATTGTCTTTCAATTTGAATAGTGTCATTTTATCCTTGTGTCATTTAAAATGATTTCATCTTTTTACGATTAGTACTCCCACCTGCAACTGGTGCTGTTATTACAGATGACCCCCTGTGAACCTACTCATGACTAATAAAACGTGAACTTGACCTCCAAACTAAATCTGTACACGCGTGATAAAACTGTGTGACTTTGAGAGCGCCATGACTTTGACGGAGCGTCATGACTTTCACGGCCCGTCCACACAGCGGCGTGTGATGAAAGCTTCACCATTCACTTTGAATGGGGTGGCGTTACTTTTCGCCGAACTGCATTGTGGGAAGCGGCGCTTTGCTGGCGTGGCTCGCTGCAAAAGTTGAGCAATGTTCAACTTTTGAAGCTTCGGCAGAAGCGTCAGCCAATCTAATCATATGCCAGTACAAGCTCTAGCTAATCAAGCCACTGCTTGTGTGTCAGGGGCGGGAGATTCATGTGATTGGTTGTTGGTCGAGTTTCAGAAATGCCCGCCGGAAAGCTTCAACGCACGCCGCTGTGTAGGCGGGCAGTCAGTCTTTGTCTCAGGAAAATGGAGAGAGCTAAATACTTTTTTGGAAAACTGAGAAACCTCGTATTTTTTGATTCGCCACACAAAATCACCAGCAAACACAAAGCGGTTCCGATGTGACGATACATTTTTAAAACGTTTTCTTCTTTCAGGCATTCTGGCTCCCGACCATCGATGACTGATGAAGGCAAAGTGAAGGCTTCTGTTGGAGGCCAGAGACAGAGCGAGCAGCAGGGGTCAGCACAACCAGCACGGTGTACATTTCACAGGAAGTGCTGTCTGTTCAATACAATTTGTAAATAAGTTCACAGAAATAGATCAATTGTCTATTCTTTTTTTATATTTTATATTTAACATTAAACTGTTTCTTTGTACGATTTTGAGTTTGTCTTTTTCATTACTGTGGTGTGTGTGTTACACAGGTCAGAGAGAGTCCAGTGTTGCCAGAAGTAATTGATCTTATTGAGCCACTGACTCAAAGAAAAGAAAATGTAATTGAATATGTTTTGTATTTTTGTCCTGATTCACTTTGGTATCGGTTTAGATAGTCAGATTAAAGAAAATGGTTGACACATGAAGAGGAAATAGTGAACTACTATAAATGTCAATGCTATTTAAATTACAATCTTACAACACTTTTGAAAAGTACAAATGATGTTTTTTCTTTTGTAAAATATTTATTCAAGCATTAAATCTGTTTGTTTGATAAGTCTTATGAGTTCCAGTTGTGAGATTACTTTTTTTTCAGGTTGAGTTCACAGTTAATGTGTGTAGCCTTATTTTTCTAGGAGTTACTAGGAAGTTAGTTTTAGATTTGTGGATCAGAGATTTGTAAAAAGCTGTCACCATGTTCAGGTGATTTACACCGGAAAAACATCTGACACAATCTGTTGACTATCAAGGTTGCTATGCGTCTAGTAAACTGAGATTGACAAAGGAAAATATGTAAACTTTCCAAAACAATATGCTCCTCTTGAAATAAAACCAAGCAGCTCCTCTTGCAGATGTTTTCCTTCTCATCCCAAATCATTGTGATTTCTAAATCATAAACTATAGAAAGCCTCCGACATAACAAGTACTGTCGGGGAAACTTCTGTGTAGCAATGCAGGAGGAGTCACCGACTCAGGAAGGAGAGCTGGAGCTTTGATGTCAAACACTGATGGTTTATTTAGGAGCTTCGTCCGGAGAATTCACAAAACAAGAGCCAGAGGTTCTGACTTCACGGTAGAGTTGCCACGTCAAATCTGAAGAACTCTACCCCAGACCCATGTATTTAGCTAGTTCAGAGAGAATAATCAACATGCTGCATAACAAGATAGAATCATAACACCTCTATCAGCTGACGCCAACAGGCAGGAACAGGGAGACAAAACACTGAGAGCACAGCAGCCAAGGTTACAGGTGTGTGTGCTCAGTCAGGACAGAACTGATAAACTGGGTCAAAGTTATGGACCTTGGAAAATATTTCCCCAACAACAAGTACTATCTTACCAAACACTTGCTCGTGATAATACTTCTTGGCACGGAGGTAATTAGGTCTGCAGGTCAAAGTGACTTCCTACAGGTCATGCTGAGTGGGGGATGGGTGTGAGTGTCACAGACTAGGACCCGGGGCTGGACACTCAGTCATTGGGAGCTAAATTTGGGAGAGAGGTGATCAGGTTCCAGGTCTGTGCACATGATACCGTCCTACTTACTTGAGCGATGCCCCTTCTCACACTAACACACACTCTACAAGAGCAGACACACTCGGCGAACCTCTTTCTCAGAACTGAATTTAGTCTGATCATCTGAAGTAAATAACTTTTTTTAACAGGCTTCCCTTTTTGAAGTTCAGTGTCTCTTGACTGGACTGCATATTTGGGCCTGGTGCTGTGGAGCTCCAGTCCATTGAGTTGCTTTTTCCTCACCCGTACTCCAGTGCTTGGTGGGAGGAAGACACCGCTGACCCGAGATGTTCCTCGCACTAGTGGTGACGCCAGAGCTGAGGGAGTTTCTGACCAGAGCGAGAGGTGGAGCACTCCGCCTCCTCAAGGTGTGCATCCAAGACGGTGAGTGAGCCACAGAGCAGCAGGCGACATGGAGATGAGTTGGCCCTCAGTGTGATGTGAGAGATAGCTCATTCATGGTGGTATTTTTTTGTTGTTTTGGAAAGATTTATTTGATTTCTTGTAGGTGGATTACTTTGAAACTGTGAAAAACAACATGTAACACAATGTGCTGGGCAACTTTCCAGAGCTTTCAAATTACAAATTGACACTCAACAAATCACTGTCATCTGGAAAAACAAGTTTGTTATGCAAGTAGTGATTGTCCATGATTTATTGCTTTTAGTTATTATCAGACGAAGAAACTAAGGTGGTCAAAGGATAACATGTTACATTAACACTCAGCATGGTCCCAAGATGTTAGCAGACAAAGAAGACACAACAAATCACACAATCCCAGAATCTAAAAAGTTAAACATGTCACAACGATTTAAGAAACAACAATACAAAAAACTAAAAGAATGACAATTAAATTCATTGTTAATTAATGTCATTAACCATTTGACAGGCAATTTGTAGAAATATCTGCTCGTGTCAACTTATCACACATTTTCGCCTCTGTGTGGACATTTCAATCAAATTAGAGTTGAAAGAATTAAGTGTTTTGAGAAAAGCAAACACAGCATGAAAATGTAAACATAGTTTTATGCAAGAGTAATACATACATTGGTTTTACTCTCTTACCCCTTTGATAATTTGGTGACCCCTCAGATTTACTTGGGACCCTTCAGGGGTCCCACCAACAACTTTATACTATAAATTAAAACGTGTCTGTAGTGACCTCGAGTGGCTCAAAATGCAAAGTCAAGTTTTCCCTTTTTCATGAGCTGCAATCTTTTCTTGAACTATAGACCTATGGTTCCCAAAAAGAAAAAAACATATGTAACATCTGTATTGACTAATGTAACCTATCGGTCAAAAATCTTTATTATCATGCAAATCATGAGAGGCCTAAGAATCATTTTATAACTGTTAGATTTTGTTTATGTAAAGATGGCAGAAGGTATCCAATGTATGTACATGGCTTCATATAAAGGGGTCACGAAACAAAAACAAAGTTGCTTAACTGGAGTTACAGACCGTATCTATCTGGTAGGAAAATAGTGGAGGCGTGTGAAAACAGACATTCAGAGTGTCAGCTGAGCAGTGACAAATGATCATTGAGGCAATAGGTCTGTAGATGGCAGCTTATGGATGAGGACTGATATGTTCATGAGATGTTTATATCTTGTTTTGGTATCTGACACTGTAATCTGATTCATGGCAGACACATTCTGGGGCTATCTTTGTGGACTGTGCCTCCCATATCAAATATGTGTCCACATATTTTGAAGTATTGATGTCAACAGATATGAGTTTGCTGCTATAGAGACGGCCCGTCTCGTGGCAAAAAGAGTGACAGGCCTGCTTCACTTTCTTCCTGAAGCACTGGGATCTTTCCAGGCGTCACTCGACTATTTTGAGCGACACGTGACGTGACTTGGTTGCTTGCTGCTGCCCGCTGACACTCATGTTCGTTCCACTTTTAAAAGAGAAACAAGATCCATCTGGTTGATTTCATCACAGCTGGCTTTGGTACGCGACTCGGTTATCAACAAAAAGTCCTCTGATAGCTTATGACTGTATAACCTTGTTTTAAACTTGAAGTTAGAAACACTTCACAAGTCATGTGTTTACATTCAGTTAAATACTGACATGGACCAATAAAGATTGAGCGTATGGCTGAGCAGGAATGTGTTGTGGCTCAGAATAGAAATGAGCCCCAAGAGACAGTCAGGAAATCCCCCCGCACCCAACAAGGACAGCATTTAGGTGTATGATTCGTGATTTCCAAGCCTAGAGTTTTGATTAGGTCATGTTAAAAACTCATCCTGACAAAGCAGTCAGACATTGATCAGTGAACTTATACCACCACAGGGTGAGGGTCACCACATGAAATAACAATGTGGACTCTCAGCAGGTTTTCAGATGTTGTCAGTTTAGACTTGAGGTAGTGACAAATGATACGTGTTTGTTTCTGATGGAACAGGGGGCTGAAACAGTCAGTCTGAAAATATTTTCACAATCAGCCAAAAATGCCAAACTTGTTTTAGGTTCCAGCACGTCTAATGTGAAGATGTGCTTTTGTCAGTGTTATGGCACAGTGTACTGAACACTGTAAACTGGAATTTTGAAAGTATCACCTTTGACTTTGAAAAGTGAGCATTTTGACAATTTATAGAATAATCCATTAATCTATTTATAAGAAACATAATCTGCAATTTAATCATGAATCAAAATCATTTTTGGTTGCAGTTCTGTTTGACCTAAATAAAAGGATAAAGATTGACAAGGGCTACGTAGACAGTTTTGAGAGTTTGTTATTGTATTTAAATACCATCACATTAATATGCTTAAATTGGTTACTCTAAAATATGAATACTTCACTAAAAAAGTATATGGTTTGTTGAGATTATGTTTATTATCAAAAAGAAATGACTTCATTAAAGATTTTTTATTTTATTTGACCAAGTTAGTATGAATGTGCATGTTCAACAAACAATGACAAATAACAATGACATTCTGTCTGAAATTATATATTAAATGGCTACATATTTAATTATCCTCCTACATGTAAATGATTATCGTGTGGCAGTACTGTCTGTGTCGATGTGCACAGGGCATGCTCCATATGGGGGGGTGAGATATGTGATGCGTTGTGGTCTGATTTTCAGAGCAGCTGGTGCTGGGGGCCTGCAGAGAGCCGGAAAAGAGCTGGGAGCAGGACTATGACCACTTCCTGCTTTCTCTCCTTTACGACCAGGAGCCCTGCTACATCCTGTACCGTCTCGACTCCCAGAATGCACAGGGCTACGAGTGGATCTTCATATCATGGTCTCCTGATCAGTCTCCAGTATGTCGTTGAGCATATTTTTCATTCTTCACTAAATACTAAAGATTCATGCATACATTGCTGTTGATAAAGAAAGCCTCAGATATATACACTTTAAGGAAATAGTTCTAGAGAACAGCACCTCAGTCAAGCTGTGCCGATACTAGGTTGATTTAATCACAGCAGATCAGCGACTGGTCATTGTACCAAAGGCTTTCAAATACTCTATCTAAGATATCTCTGATGAAATCATCAGGGTTTCAGGTTAAATCAGAGAGTGCCTCTTTAAAGAAAGTCTTTTTTTGCTTGGTGACTTTACCAAATAAACAAAGTTTGATTTCCAAGGGGTTTACAAGTGTTTGAATGAAGCAAAAGTACATTGGCTCTATTAAAGGGGACATATTATGCAAAATCAACTTTTTCATGTCTTTTATACGTAAACATGTGTAAAGAGATTATGAAACTTTCAGGAAAAAAGATTCTCTCACTTTTTGTCCTGATCCATTTATATAAAAACCTGTCTGAAAATGAGCTGATCAGATTTTGGCCACTTGATGATGCCATAACGATTTTTTGGCTTGTGTAACCATTAGCCAATAACCAACCAAGGTAACCCCCCCCACCTTATCACCTGAATCTCCTCCTAGAGCACCATTGTGTTCTTTTTAACCAAATATCTCTCAGAGGGGCGTGGGGAGTGGCTCCTTATTTTCATCTAAAGTAACAGACAGAGAATCAGCACTTCTGAAACAGGGCTGAAACAGAGGGGATTATGGGATGCTACAATGCACGATCTGTTTGGTGTTTAGAGCCAAAGACTTCAGAGACGTGTTTTGTATATATCTGAGACCTATAATATATTGATGAAAAACAGTATAATAGGGGACCTTTAATGTACTTTGAAGTAGTTTACTTCGATATTTCATACTAAACCAAATTCAGGAGTAAAATGTTCACTTTTATTCCCTAGCATTATTTTAGACCAAGTTATTAGTTTGTTTGCAGATTTAGATCATTAATACAAAATATAAATCATCCAACCAACTATGGTGTATTACTGTAGATACCCACCTGCTGAGCAGTGCTGAGTTAGCTCTATATTTAAAAGTTGAAAATAAAAACTGATGGAAACAAAATAATGCATCCCTAATTATATTCCAGAAATATTACTTATATTATTTCAAATTTGCCCATGCTGCAAAATAAATATTTATACTTTTGTTATATTGATGCTCTATTGATACTGTAGTTCTTTCACTAAGTAAGATTTTGATATGCTGGACTTTTACTTGTGACAGAGTATGTTTACACCTATCCTACCTTATGCTATCTGGATACTTCATCCACCCCTGAGTAATCTTTAGCAATTAATTGAGCAATTTTGTCTTTTCCCTTAGTGCAAACCATTTGAAAGCAACACTCACCAGCAACACACAGTATACAAACAGGGCATATCTTTTCTCCTCCTTTGGCTGCAGGTGAAACAGAAGATGTTGTATGCTGCCACCCGTGCCACAGTAAAGAAGGAGTTTGGAGGTGGCCATGTGAAGTACGAGATGTTTGGCACAACCGAGGTCAGAAGTATTTGAAATTCTTCCTGATCTACTGTGACAGATTGTTTTTTTTTTAAGTGTGATGACGTGTGGTGTTTGACTCTTGTTTGTTTCTTGTTGTGTTTTCAACACTAGGAGGACATTTGTTTGCTGGGATACCAGCGCCATGTGTCCTCCTGCTCAGGTCCTGCCCCGCTCACACTTGCTGAACAAGAGCTGCAGAGGATTAAAATCACAGAGGTGAGAGGTCGCCATACTCTCTGCAGTGTTGGCATTGTTTCACATGCCTTGTGTTCGTAATACATCCTCCTTTCTTTGAAGTGTAAAACTTTGATGTGATTTTATTTTTTTCAGTGCCGGGTTAAACAGGTATGTTGATACAGTGTTATACATGCACATTTGAGCTGGATGGGGAAAGACAAAGAGAACATATATCCATTGTTTGTGATAAGTGGTCATTTTATATAAGTATACGATATATACTATAAGGTGTGTCTAACATAAAATAAATGTGAGGCTATGTTATCCAATGAAATACGTGCTTAATTAAGACGCTTGAAGAGATAGTCAACTATTTTGTGTTTGTGTGTGTGCGTGTGTGTGTTTGCTGCCTCCTGCAGGTGAAGACAGAGATCAGCGTGGAGAGTAAGCACCAGACACTTCAGGGTCTAGTTTTCCCTCTGCAGGAGACTGCCAAAAGAGCCTTGCAGCAACTTGCCCAAAAACGCATCAACTACATTCAACTGGTGAGCCGTAGGAGATTAGTTCAAGAGAATGAAAATGAGCTACCTCGTAAAAAAGCCAGTGGCATTTTTCCAGTTTAAAAAAGAAGTTATCATCAGGAGCAATGAATTCCCCTGTGCTTCTGTGGTTGTATTCTAAGAAACACATCCTGTACACTGTGCATAAATGTATGTGTTCCAGAGGTTGGATGTACAGAAGGAGACAATCGAGCTGGTCCACTCCAACCCGACAGAAACTCGTGAATTGCCCCACAGAGTTCCCAAAGACACTCCCAGATATCACTTCTTCCTTTATAAGCACTCCCACGAAGGAGACTACCTGGAATCTGTTGGTATGTCACTGATTTCCTGAAAATCCTCTGCTATTCACATCTGTTTCAATATGTACACGCAGGCACGATTAGGTTCACATCTGTACACCTGGACTGCAGATGCTCAGAGATGTTGAGAGAGAGTGCAAGAGTACACGCCTTCATCCACATCAGTGGTTCCCAACGGTTTTGCCTAGTTGACGCCTTAAAATAAAGCAACAGTTACTTGTGAATTGCATGACAGAAAATGGCTGCTGTGAGCATTTCAACTGAATATCGATTTTTCCTGCTCTATTTATTTACCTTGAGGAATTTGTGTAGGCCTTGGGAGGTGAAATAGTCTGTATTTACGAGAATACAACCAGATTTTAAGGAGCATTTTTTTATGTAAAATAAATACATTTGAAACCATCCAGGTCTTAGGGACCTCTTTTGGGTGTTTGTTCCCTGATCCACATCAACATAACATAATCAAAAATATTTTGTCTTTTTTTCCTGCCTGCAGTGTTCATATACTCCATGCCAGGATACAGCTGTAGCATTAAGGAGCGGATGTTGTATTCAAGCTGCAAGAGTCGACTACTAGAGGACGTGGAGAAAGATTACCATTTGGAAGTTGCTAAAAAGGTAACAAAGGGATACAAAGATCATTGAAGACAGTTTAATACATGGTTGTAGTAACCATTATAACAGTCGGGTCACGTTCTCTGAAATATTTTCATTAAAAAACGAAATGAAAAAAAGATATTCAGTGTTTCTCCTCCAGAGTTGTCTTAGCCCTGTGAAAGGCCTTGAGAGACACTCAGATTTGAAGACAGAATTTACAGAAAATCTAACTGAATTGTTGATATATAAATAATAAAACAAATAAGGAGGGGGGATTAGAAACATGACCTCAGCATTTCTTAAATCCTGGTTTCAGTCCTGGTTGTATTCACTACTTTTAAATGTAATTTATGTTCATACTAAACACTGTGTACTCATTCACCTGCATGCTTGTTTCCATTGTTCTGCCTCTTTTGCAGTTGGAGATCGATGACGGAGACGAACTGACTGAGGACTTCCTGTATGACGAGGTCCATCCCAAGCAGCATGCTCACAAACAGGCCTTCGCTAAGCCCCGCGGCCCAGCAGGAAAAAGGGGACACAAGCGCCTCATTAAGGGGACAGGAGGCACCCTACAGAACAGCTAGAGGCGGACCCCTTCCTCCCCATAGTCCCCAGACCCTCTAACACCCATAGGCCCAGAGGAATGAGCACAGTGGTGGACTTCCTCTGCTGCTTGTGTACAACACTTGTGCTTTATAAATATGTTTTTGATTATACAATAATAAGTCAAATACAGTATATGTCTCTCCCACAGACATATCAAGTCTTATAAAGACAAACTATAGATAACATGTGTAAGAAAACATGACACAAATCCCTAATCAAAAAACAATCAGGCTAAACACTGACAGATTAGCTTGTTGTTGTTGTATAGCTAATCTGTCTGGTTCTTTCATATGTCAAAAATTGATTTCTGCCGTTTACAACATACAGATTACAAGTTTTGTATCAGCAATGTTTGTATGAGAATATGAAAGGAAATTCCAAATAAATGTTGTTTATACTGTGATCTTAGACCTTCTTGATACAAATGTGTGTGTTATTATTCAGCATGCAATGTTTAACCCTAAATATATATAAATATATATATAACACTGAGTTAAATCTTTAAACTAACATCTGTCTTGATCATAACAACCAAATGTATATTTTTTGTTTTCACATTTGAACCCTTTAAGTTCTATTTTGTTTACATATTGCCACGGATAGCAACAACACTGCCATTATACAGCAGCAATAGGTGGAAACCATGAACAAAATCATTTGTTTTTTCCACAGGGAAAACATGATAAAGCCGTTTTAAAATACCATTTTGAAGCCAGTGCTCTATATTGAAATACATACAAGTGCAATGCTGTAATGGCATGGTCAGCAAATGTTTTTTTTAACGGGACATTTTTGTCCTTAGTCCCTGAGTGTATTTAGCTTCACAGTTCATTAAAGACTTATTGGAGCTGTGGTTGCTGTGGCTGTTTTTGCACAAAAACTGAAGCCACATTAGAAACATGGAAACCCAATGCATTAACTTGACCAACATTATTGTAAAATTAAAAAGCCGCAACTATTCCAGGAAAGGCACAAGGGTTAATCCATGGACTTAGTGTTGTTTGTGGCCTAAATCTCAAAGAATAGGAGTTTTAAATCAAACGAACAGTTATGAGCCACCAAGGGGACAGCCCTCTGGTCATGGCAGTGAGGCTCCAGTGTTTGAAACGCTGCACCATGTTGATTTAACAACATCAGCAGGAGTTCTGGCTAATGTGGCCTCAGAATACAAAAATAATGCGCAACTCTGCCCGCGTCAAACAGGTCAATAGTTACAAAATCACTTTTCAGGGCTCTTTTAATGCAGACATTCTTTTTCAATTTGTATTTTAAATCTTCACAGTCTGTGTAGATGCTGCATACTTCTTCAACATGCTTCTGCAAAACCTCTGAGGAACTGGACCACACTCTTGTAGTCTGCCACTAATGAGTGCACACACAGCAGAGGGGATGCTCTCTCTATAGGCTGTTAGTCAACTAATTGGTCATAAAGGCTCTTGGTTGACTAAGAAATCTTAAGCTGATTAGATGTGTATATGCTTTTATTTTGAGGGGGGCTCACAATCACGTTATGATCAGGAATTATAACTACCAGGTCAACCGCCTATAGTTTATGATTTGATAATTAGCACTGAACACAACTGCTACAGGCACTAATACAGGCCGGTGGGTTTCATTTGATTAATAATGATTTTATAAACTAAAATAATGGACATAGTCAACTATTGGCTTCATGGTTGTTCTGTATGTAAAGTAAGGATGACACAAAAAGCTGTTAAATACACCTTTAGGGACGATGACTTTTACTACTAGCTTTCACAACTTTTAACAACCCAATATTAGTTCAAATGTTTCTATCTGGACTAAAGTGGTGGACAAACTAATTTCCATTGGTATCACCTCCTAGAGCAAAGCTGCAACTATGGCAAAAATACCACTGTCAATCTGTTTATTGTTCATTGTGTAGTTCACTGTCGTTATCACGTTACCACGTCACCAAATTATAGTTAAAATTGTTGGACGAAAACAAACCTTTTGTTCTGATCCCTGTGAACAAAGCTCTGCTGATGAATACAGTTTTCTCTCTATAACCAGTGGATGGATTTATGTTGCTGATTCCAGGCCATTAAAGCTTTTCTCAGAAATACTCTGGACAAAGGCCCTTTTTTTCCTCCATGTTGGAAGAGACAAAGAGTTATTCATTTGTGTCTCAAACATCTTATCAATTCTTAGAACATTCTCGGTATGTTAAAAAATGGAGTAAGCTTCAGGAATTTCTTGAACAACCCAAACTATTTTTTTTAATCTTTTGCGGAATATTTTATTAGGTAGGGTTCAGTCGACATCGCTGTTCAGACAAAATATCTTCATATACAAACAATGAAAACCAAAAACTGTGAATTACTAGATTTTGAACACAAGTAACAATATTAAATTGTTGTTATAGGAACACAAATGATTAGCTTTTTCTGTATATTATCCATGCTTTTTTAGCTGCAAGAGAATTCCAATGGTTTTTGCTGTATTTGGCCTTCAACAACACACAATCTTTCTGAAGCTTCAATATCTCTGCAGTGATACACAATGCATTGTGCTGTTGCACCTGAACAAAGAAAAGAGGTTTTTCTGAAACCAAATGAATGCTGTATAGTCCGCTTACTGTTTCCAGAAAACTTGCCCGGTTTAATCTTATTACCAAGATGGGGAATAGCACAATTACAAGAATTCACTCGACAAAGTATAACAATAACATATCAGACAAGCAACATACTTTATTTCCGGTTTAATGAGCCTCTAATCACGTCATAACCGAATAATCACCACATAAAAAAAAGTTTTCGCCTTTCTTTGTCTTCTTCTAAAACGACTGTCAGGATAGTGTAACACAGAAATAATGCAAATACTAGAATAGGGTTTTGTAATCTGAAAATAGTAAAAAGGGAAGCTCTGCATTCTCAGGTGCAGCTCAAGTAAACATAGGAAATATAGTTCCCAATTGTCCAAACAAGAGCTGAAACAATTGGTACATTTCTCCATTAGCTCAACAACTGATAACAAATCTAAATCCTTTTATTTATTTCTTTACATGGTCAATTTAGAACCAACCCCCCCCCCCTATCCTGGTTTCCATCAGTATTTCAGTATGAGTTTTAATTTCCCTCTTTTATTTGTTATAACTCATACAAAACATACAAACCCTAATCTAACATGACATGTCACAAAGACCAGCAACTAAACTTTCCTCAAAAAACCAGACAAGTCAAAATTAGACATCAGTCACAGTGTTAACATTGAGCTGAAGGTTGATACAGTATGTTCCTTTCATCTTAAAATTCTTGGTAGTTTCTCTGCCTTCCCAGTACAATGTTCTCCAGTTACCAACTGTCCCTGGAGTCTCTGTGCTCCTAGAAAATCTGCCTTTTCATATCATACACTTTAGGACAACGTTCAGTTTGAAATGCTTTGTATATAGCATTCAAACATGTACATCTTCCTTTATGAGGAAGGTAGTTTCTCTAAACATTGGTTATGGTTATTTTCATGTTTGTCAGATTCAGTTTTAATGTGCTTTGTTTGACTGCTGAATATTGCATGGTGCCAGTTTAGCAAACAAGACCATCCTGTTACATAATAAATAATAAAGTAAATCAAGATAAAGGTTCACGAAAAATAACTGCACTGTTCTTCCCCCCCCACCCCTGAACTTAAAAAAAAACACAATGTTCAAACGCATCCAGCGGGGTAAATAAGTCCACTATTCTTCCTAGGGGAAAAGCAGATTTCAGGATTTCTTGGAAATTGTGGAGATTTAGAAATTCTGGAACAGCATGCTTTGGTTATGATACAGACATGTTTGATATGTTTGTGTGAGTGATGGTTCAGACTTTTGAGTAAATATTTAAAACACTTAAACAACTAAATGGTGAACAACCAGCTGCCCAGCCTTATTTGGCCTGAATCTAGTCATTCAGAGTAAAAAGAAAAGTTGAACTGATGTGGATTTCCTAGAAAGATTCCCTAGAAAATAAACGCAGGAGGGATTAATAAGCAAAACATATTACATTCTCAACCTGAGGCACGGCTTTTGGATAACAAATCAAGCGTAATGCAATACAAAAGACAGGATTAGAGGGTGAAAAATACCTTGGCAACATCACATTTGTCTCTGCCTGACAGTAGTGTTAACTCGTTTTATAGTGTATTGTCACAATAACAACTTCCTTTGTCGAGCGTAATTACTCCGGCAAACCTCTGAGAAAACCTCTCGCAGTGTTTTTCCACCATGGATCGAGGGAAATCTATATTACTGGAAACAGGCTGTGTGTGCATTCCTATTATCTTTAATGTCGAGGCGGTGAATTCCCAGAAAGAGAGCTCTGTCAGGGCGGCCCGACGGGGCGGAGTCAAGCCCTGCAATTATTCCTGGAAAGCGAATAGGGGGAAGCTGCCGCGCGATTCCTGGGAGCGAGCGCTCGCTTCAGCCCGCGGCCCAAACACGGGGGAGAGATGAGTCTCAAAACCAGACACGGGGAAATGACCGGGTTCACCACGGTGTTATCCTGAGAATCAGCCGAAAGAAAAACAAACATTTTTTCATCAGCAAAAGCGCTGCTAAATACCGGAGCTGTTAGAGCAAGACAACCAGAGGCGAAATGGGAGTTGGTGCGGCGGCTGTGACGTCAGAGCCGCCGGTGCTGTTCTCAGAATAGACTTCTAGGAAACGGTAATTTTTAAAAGCCCAGCCTTTACACTCTGTCCTTCACACATTTGGATCCCATTCTGGTGACAACACACTCCAAACCGCTGCTACGGAGATTTCTATGTTTTAAACGTGTTGTTTTCATGTTTCTCATCCAGTGTTGTTCTTATTACAACTAAAGGACCAGACCATTACTGACTGGGTACACCGAGCTCTTTTATCCCCGATTTGAACGCTTTTCGTTTTGTTTTGTGGAAGTGCTTTTTCCTTTCTTCGGACGGAGATCATTTTCTCTATGTTTCGTTATTTTCTGCGGAAGAAACACTGACCGGATCTTAATCTGCAGAGGATTTAAGGAATAGCATGATTCTTTGTGTACCAGCGTGAGTTGACTTTCTTTGTATATACGTTTTCTATTGTATTGTGTGCGTTGAGAATCCTATCAAAACCAATTATATGTGTAAAAGTAATACACATTGTATTATTGTTACGGTTTTTTTACGTATTATGTGTTGATTGTACATGTTTTCTAGGAATCGCAACTATCGCAACTCATGTATACCAATTACAAATGGCCTGTAACACGGATAACAAATATTAAATGCTCTTTATCAAAAATGTCTTAATTCTATCAGTAGAAATTATACAGTTAAGTTTAACCTTTATTTAACCACGATGGACTGATTCAGGTTAAAATGTTATTTAAGGTTCATTACCAAAATTGCCATCAGTAACAGACAAAACATAAAATATGTCTAAAATAAGTATTACATATGTATGTATTTAATTACATACAATTACAACTGAGATAATTCATAAGAATATTCACAGTTTGCTTCTCACGTTTAAAGTGGACAAAGAAGTGAGCAAGTGAACGCCTCCATCTGTTCCTTCTTATTTAGCAATAAACACTGAACACAAAATAATGATGTACCTTAACAAGGAAGAGCAAACCCTGCATTGACTATTTTCTTTTATGTTTTTTTTAAACCTTGTTTTTCCCTTTATTTACAGTCCGCGAGCACCTCTGACTGCTGCTCCGTCCACTGATACCCCGAGGGGGATGCGGGCAGGAACAGCACCTACCCCTTGCCTTCAAAGCACCCCCCCACTATGGGACCCAACAAAGGACCTGCGGGCGATTGCCAGCAACTTCTGCTATCTAGAAAACTCAGGTATGAAATGTGTTTAACACTCACACTCTTTGTAAAAGATTTAGTTAAATGTCATAATTGTGGAAAATTAAGCAACAAACAGGGCAGTAATAAAGAGTGTTCAGAGTGACTAATATTTAGGAATGTGTGTTTGTAGGATGGTACTGGGGAGCTGTAACTGCAGCTCAGGCCCACGCTGCGCTTCAAGAGGCATCTGAAGGAGCTTTTTTGATACGAGACAGCAGTCACCCTCTGTACATGCTGACCCTCTCCGTCAGGACGGCACGAGGTCCCACCAGTATTCGGATCCAGTACAGCGGGGCACAGTTTTTGCTCGACTCCAGTTCCCCGGCCAGGCCAAGCCTGTCGTCCTTCCCCAACGTGCCCAGCCTGGTGCAGCACTACATGGGGCCAGGGAGGAAAGCAGAAGAGGGCAAGGTGTGGGAGGAGGCCCCTTCAAAACCCTGTCAGCAGACAATTCAGGAGACATCTGTGGTTTTAAAACTGAAGCGGCCCGTGTACAAGCCGCAGGGCCTCCCCTCCTTACAGCACCTCACTCGCCTGGTTATAAACAGACACTCTGACCGGCCCGAGCAGCTCCCACTCCCCAGGCCTCTGCTGCGTTACATTCAGGACTATCCCTTCAAGGTATGACGAGTGCCTCATGATGTTGTTACATTTAAGGACAAATAAACTGTCAAACAGGTCTCTGGTGCCTGAAAATGACACCGCTGCTCCAGCAGTTGGAGGCCAGTCACGAAACCACTGGACACAGGGTGATATTTTTTGCTGAAAAATGTGTATAAATTCAATTTATACTGACGTGCCTGGTGCCAGACTTGATTGGTCGAGGATTGGGTGATGAAGTACGAAGACTTGAGCTCAAAGATGTACTGTAATCACATATTTTGTGATTGATGTGGGAATTGTCCATGTCCATTTGACCCTCATCAGTTGTGGATGTACGTACTGTTTCCAATAAGTACACTGATTCCATTAAGACATCTTTAATGCCGTTTTATTTTTCTCAGTAAAACATTTTTTCTACCTTTTACATGTGTACATTTTTCTATTAAAATAATGAACTTACTTGCTGTCTTCTTAATAATTTTTACTTCCTCATCTTTATTATTCACCACCACATGATGGTCTGTTTTTGAGTCACTTTTTCACAAATCACCTTTGAACACAAAGACTGGCCTTTGAGCTTCAAGTGTGTGAGATGCAGATACAGAGAGGAAGTGAAGGCCACATTGTGTGTGATTTTGCTCAACAATGCGCACAGCCTGCATCTGAGTCAGCGAGTGGACGAGGAAAGGGGAGGACCGTTCATCAGCGAATTCACAGAAGTACTGAGAGCTTCCTGGGAGCGGGAGGGAGATTCTGAGAGGGAGGGTTCTAAGAAAAGCCTCAGTAATTACCTTCAGCTCTGAGCCTGCTTTGGTGCCATCTCGCACACATTTTATTGTGGCGGAGGATGTGATAACAACTGTTACCAGGTGAAGTATTACAGTGACATGAACATAATTTGAGCCACGGCAGATTGTGAATATTGAGTGATCAGATGGGTGCGAGCGCGCGCTCGGCAGCTCAGTGAGGGCGGGGGGGCTGAGCAGACCTGGGCTAAGGCCAGCGTAATAGGATCTCAGTTTCTCAATCCAGATCCAGTTTGTGGTCCTTCTCTTTGCGAAGGATGCAGAAACGTGGCCTAAGGAACAAATACAAATCGGGATTTAAGACTTGAAATGAGGAAAACAACTAATGGGGTGTTAATGAGCTAAGTATTATAATTTAGTTAAATATTTTAACAGTGAAGCCTTTTAATCAAATAGAACTGATGGGGCTTACTCTGACATTACAGCGGGTTAAAGAGATCTGCACAAACCTGCCGCTGATGTCGTGCCTTGTCTTCACATAATGCATCTCTTCCACATTCACCTCCACCCACCGTTGAATGAGAGGAGGGTGTCTGGGATCCACCTCCAAGTAAACACGGCTGGTAATCACCATAAAGAAAACACAGAATGGACACAAAATGTATTATCAGGACAGGATTAGCGGCAGCACCCATGAGATGAGAGCAGGGGCACATGTCTGGAAGTGAATTCACTGGAAGCTTACCTCTTTAAAGAGGCAACACGATACCCGTGCTTTTCGGAACATGCTGTTCTTGTGACAAGCTGCCGCCGTTTAGGAATTAAACCCAGGTGGGCTTGCTTGCCTGCGTGTGTGTGTGTGTGTCGGGCAGTGGGGTTCCTTACCCATGATCTGATAAAATCTGTGGAGCCAGAGTCAAAATATGTTTGATCACTTCTAGGCCATCGTTACCTCCATCCAAAGCAGCATGGTCTTCAAACCTGGGACACCAGAAAACACATAAATACTTGAATTACATTTGGTACATTTAAAAAAAAGTAAACTACTTTTAGACATTGCATGCGATTTTTTTACTTTGGCTATTCTGAAGCGAGCATCACATTAATGAAATACAATTACATATTTTAATATTTTATTTGTTAATAAATTATTAGTATGATTGTATTAAATGCGGCAGGTTTAGAATGAATAAACAGTTCATGAAATGATATATAGCACATTATATCACACCGTACTGCCTAGAAAACCAAAAGGAAGTTACAATGTCTTTGGTCATCATTTAGAAAAGAACAGAATCAGATCTGTTGACATCTGTTTAACACACAACATGTTCTTATGCTCTAAAAGTCGTTAATATGAAAGAAAACAGTATATTAAGTTAGGAGTTACTAAAAACTCTTACTTGCTAAGAGGGTTGTTCAGATCATCTGTTGCACTCAATAAATAATTGAGAGCAGCTTGATACATTTTCCTCTGGGCCAATCAGAGTGTGACAACAACCTTTCTTATGTGTTTATGTTCTTGTCCAGGAACTCTGGCTTCTTTACTTTCTAAATGTTTCTGATTGAGGGTGATTTTGAGCATGTCACCTGCATCAGGGCAGACTTCATTCAGCACTATTGGTGCAGGATCTAATGCTTGCATGAACATATTTTAACACTCAGGCTTTTGTTTATACATTTTTTTTAAGCTTTTCGGGATTAACTATTTAGCAGATGGATTTTCTTTTTAATTGGCAAAAGGACTGTTGGCCAAGACGCAGGAGACGTGAGGCAACACAACAGTCGTGTTCCATCTGGACGTGTTCTTTGGTGTCAGCTTGGTGTGTCTGGGCCTTTAACCACACCAAATCATGGATTTCTGTCAAGTCAAGAGCTGAGAGGGCAGGCTAACTCTCTTTGATATCCATGAGCGGACTTAAGCAACTACCTTATTTAATTTGGATAAAAAAATTAATCACCATGATGTTAGATTGTTTATAGTAACTCTTAAATTAGTCAAGTGAAATGGGACATCAATATTACGATATGGGACAGATACAATTATTTGAAAAAAGGAGAAGTCACCAAAAAAAAGTCAATCAATTATTCAGAGCACATTATAGGGATCATTATCATCATCATCTATGATAACAAGACATAATGTATTATACATACTTAAATACATGTGTATACTCCAGTTGAGGATACTTCATAGAAAGAGTTTTAATTGTTACAATAATCCAGGAATGCAGAGTTTATACTGCTTATAAAGCTCATGCTATGGGGAGGTTGAATACAAAGGTTTGGAAAGGCTGAATGTGTTTTAATCACCGATACACTTCAGGTTCCAGCGCCGTCATATCCTCTGAAAATAGGTACGGGGGATTGCTGACCAAAACAGAGACAGAGCTACAGAGGCTCAACACTGTCTCTGCATCTGGAAAAACACATTTGAAGTTTGGGTAACATTTCATGATGCCAGTGTTTATAATACAATCGAATAGTTATAGCATGGTATTAACAAAGTTGAAAGAAAATCATTCTTTATGCTTTATAACACTATTGATAACACATTGACTCATAAGGGCTATCAAAGCACATATAATTCATTAAGAGGTGATAACAAGTTACATTGTGGTCATTCTTGCTTTAAGAAAAACACATATTTTACAATGTTGTGTGTATTGTTGGCAAAGGTTAATTACAAGGATTATAATGCAATATAAAACAATTGTAATGTATTACAAGAACAGGGATTATAAAATACAATATATGACTTGACTTTATCAGACCTTTGATTGACCCTTGATGACATATTTTGTTCATTGTTTATAGAACATATTATATATGTTTGGAAAGTGCTTATCAGCAGTATGTTTAATTCACTGCTTTCCCTTACCTTTCATTACATCTAAATGATGGATTTGTAACCTGTCCTGAAGCCCCAACCTGCAGAGGAAAATCCTTCATCAGACTAAACAAAACGTTTATTGTAAGTCTTTCACCGCAATAAAAGTAAATCAATAAGAACATTTACAACTCCCTTTCTTGGGCTGGGGTTAATTACCTTAAAGCATTCTCTCCTGTTAAATCCACCGCATCCTGGCTTTGATCCACAGCGATGGCTTTAAGCTAGTGACAGAGGAACAAACACAGCCATTTCAAGTGCTGTTTACTTTTTGGAAACAAATAGCCCAGGGAAAGAAGTGTGCATGAGAACGTGACAGGAGGATAGTGGAAAGTACGCCTGGGTCAGTGAGCTGATGTAAATACATGTGACTTATTCTCTGAGGTCAGGAACACCAAACTTATATGGGGACCATAATTGTCTTGACAGAATACGGTGCCAACACATTTGTCATTGCTGAAATATTTCACTGAATAGATGAAGATTTTGAACTGCTGGGGTCGCGTTTGGAGTCACACACGCAAGCATCCCCAGTCAGAAAAAGAATCATGATGGAAGGCTTTATTCTCTTGGGAATATGTTAATCTATCAAATATTCTTAGAGGCTCGTCGCAAGCGCATTAAAAAAAAATCTTCTTCCTTCAATCAACACAAATCTCACCTGAGGACAACTCTTCAGCAGACTGAGAGAAATAGCACCAGAGCCACATCCCACTTCCAAGCATGTTTCCTGTGTACCAACTTCAGTCCCTGGCTTCATCTGCAGATCAGTGAGCACCAGTTCAACCAACTCCTGCACCAAAAAAACATGGCTCTGGTTATGAATGATTGATCACTGTAGAATTGTGTGTCCTGTTTTCCTTCTGTCAAACCTCAGTTTCAGGTCTTGGTATGAACACAGGAGGTTTCATCTTCAGTGTCAGATCTCTGAAGTCCCACTCTTCAATCACATACTGCACAGGCATCCTTCAACAAGAACACACATTCATGAGTATTCTAAGTAAAACATATTTAAACAAAGGTGTATTTCAACTATTTATACCTGGTTAGGCGTTTAGAGCAGAGTTTCCACATCTGCTCAGTTTTTTCTGGACTGAGAAACTCTGTTAACTTCTCCTGCTCAAGACTTTCTATCTGGATAATGAAACAATAAGTAGAAACAAGTAAGAATGCTGTCAATTGTGAATGTAGCTATTCAGACATATGAGGCAGGATCACCCATAAGGGGACAAAAAGGGAAACGATGTATTGGATCTAGCCACTAGTTCAGGGCCAGCAAGGATCGTGACCAGCTATTATTTAATGTAAGCACATGTCTGTGGGCAGGTCTCACATCAGGTAATGATCAATGAGCCCAGCAAAGTTCCACTTACAGTTTTAGCCCCGAGCAGATAAGCAAGGATGTAATGGCTGGAGTGGTCGGGCTCCGTCACGCCTCTCTCAGCAAAGTGTCTTTCCCATAAATCTGCTGCCTGTCGAGCTGTGATCCGGCCTGCAGGTAAGGCTGGAGCGCTGCATGACCGCACTGCATGGTAGCACCAAAGTCTCTAAAAATGAAAATATGAAGGTTTAGAGTTATCAAGCTTTGGTTTAAACAGGTACATGTTGATTTCTACTTGTGCCTCCCCTTCAGGGAAATCACCATATGCTCAAGTCAGATTTATTGTTAAGATTGAATTTTATTGTTTGGCAGGTAACATTCAAAATCTTTCAGATTTGAGATCATGTACGAATTTCCAAATTAAAACCCTGCAGTTTTACATAGTCTAGTGACACATTCTGGTTTCCGTCACATGGCCTTCGTCACCCACACAGTCCCCTGATTCCTACTTCCCTTATCGGCCTAGCAGGATTGGATAGCCTTTAATGTTCCAGAGGAACAATTTGGTTTAATAGCTGCAAGGATTATTCAAAAAGAATCGCCACTGCTTTGACATCTGATTAAGACATTTTTGATGGAGAAATGGCAAAAAAAGCTTTTTTCAGTCCCTTCAATATGGATATTTCTATCGTATTCAAAATATTTTTTCTGGG